ATGGGACCACCCGGATGTGGCCCCTATCTGCCGGCCTGAGGGGGGAGTAGGAGTATATTCTAATAAGGAATAAGGATAGGAGTAGTAGGAGGAGGAGAAGGAGGATGAAAAGGAGGAGGAGGAGCAGGAGGAGGAGGAGGAGTGCCAGCGGTTCCAAGGCGCTTCGTTGAGAGAAGGAGAGAGAGAGAGAGAGAGAGAGAGAAAAAGAGAGAGAGAGAGAGAGAGATGGAGAGAGGGAGAGAGAGAAAAGAGAGGCTCCTCCTCCTCCTCCTCCTCCTCCTCCTCCTCCTCCTCCTCCTCCTCCTCCTCCTCCTTGTCTTCGTCCTCCTCCGCTCCCTCCTCGTCGCCGCACTGCGTACCCTAACGGGTGGGATGGGTCTGGCGGGCGGACCCTGACAGGCGGGCGGGGCGGGCCGGGAGGGCGGACCTTGACGGGCGGGCGGGTCGGGAGGCGGGCGGGGCCCTAACGGGCGGGCGGGCGGCGGGTCGGTCGCGCGGGCGGGACATTGATGTGTGAAGCGTGTTCATCTGAACACGCGCGTGCCCTGACGGGCGGCACGGGTCGGGCGGGCGGGGCGGGGGCGGGCGGGGCCCGAACGGGCAGGCGGGCTGCGGGTCGATCGGGCGGGCGGGGACATCAACGTGTGATGCGTGTTCGTTTCGGCACGCGCGTACCCTGACGGGCGGCACGGGTCGGGCGGCGGGCGGGACATGAAAGTATGACGCGTAATCGAGGCAGCACGCGTGTCACTCCAACGGGCGGGCGGCGGGTCGGGCGGGCGGGCCCTGATGGGCGGGCGGGTCGGACGGCGGGCGGGACCCTAACGGATCGGGCGGCAGGTCGGGCGGGCGGGACATTAGAATATGACGCGTAATCGAGGTAGCACGCGTGTCACCCTAACGGGCGGGCGGACCCCAACGGGCGGGCGGGTCGGGCGGCGGGCGGGACCCTAACGGGCGGGTGGGCGGCGGGTCGGGCGGGCGGACATTACGCATGACGCATAATCGAGGTAGCACGCATATCATTCTCTAACGGCGGCGCGGGTCGGCAGGGGCGGTCGGGCGGGGCGGACATTAACGCATGACGCAATCGAGGTAGCACCATTAGCACGCATATCATTCTAACGGGCGGGCGCGGTCGGGGCGGGGCGGACCCTAACGGCAGCGGTCGGGCGGCGGGCGGAACCCTAACGGGCGGGGGCGCGGCGGTCGGGGGCGGGACATTACGCATGACGCATAATCGAGGTAGCACGCATATCATTCCTAACGGGCGGGCGGCGGGTCGGGCGGGCGACCCTAACGGGCCGGCGGGTCGGGCGGCGGGCGGGACCCTAACGCGGGCGGCGGGTCGGGCGAGCGGGACATTAACGTATGACGCATAATCGAGGCAGCATTTCGTGTCACCAAACGGGCGGGCGGCGGGTCGGGCGGGCGGACCCTAACGGGCGGGCGGGTCGGGCGGCGGGCGGGACCCTAATGGGCGGCGGGCGGCAGGTCGGGCGGGCGGAACATGGCAGTATGATGCATAATCGAGGTAGCACGCGAGTCACCCTAACGGGCGGGGGCGGGTCGGGCGGGCACCCTAACGGGCAGGCGGGTCGGGCGGCGGGCGGGACCCTAACGGGCGGGTGGGCGGCGGGTCGGGCGGGCGGGACATTAACGCATGACGCATAATCGAGGTAGCACGCATTAGCACGCATATCATTCTAACGGGCGGGCGGCGGGTCGGGCGGGCGGACCCTAACGGGCAGGCGGGTCGGGCGGCGGGCGGGACCCTAACGGGCGGGCGGGCGGCGGGTCGGGCGGGCGGGACATTAACGCATGACGCATAATCGAGGTAGCACGCATATCATTCTAACGGGCGGGCGGCGGGTCGGCGGGCAGACCCTAACGGGCAGGCGGTCGGGCGGCGGGCGGGACCCTAACGGGGGTGGGCGGCGGGTCGGCGGGCGGGACATTAACGCATGACGCATAATCGAGGTAGCACGCATTAGCACGCATATCATTCTAACGGGGCGGCGGGCGGTCGGGGGGCGGACCCTAACGGGCAGGCGGGTCGGGCGGCGGGCGGGACCCTAACGGGCGGGTGGGCGGCGGGTCGGGCGGGCGGGACATTAACATTAACGCATGACGCATAATCGAGGTAGCACGCATATCATTCTAACGGGCGGGCGGCGGGTCGGGCGGGCAGACCCTAACGGGCAGGCGGGTCGGGCGCCGGGCGGGACCCTAACGCGGGCGGCGGGTCGGGCGAGCGGGACATTAACGTATGACGCATAATCGAGGCAGCTTTCGTGTCACTCAAACGGGCGGGCGGCGGGTCGGGCGGGCGGACCCTAACGGGCGGGCGGGTCGGGCGGCGGGCGGGACCCTAATGGGCTGGCGGGCGGCAGGTCGGGCGGGCGGAACATTATAACGTATGATGCATAATCGAGGTAGCACGCGAGTCACCCTAACGGGCGGACGGCGGGTCGGGCGGGCGGACCTTAACGGGCGGGCAGGTCGGGCGGCGGGCGGGACCAATGCTACAACTACTTCTGCACCATAACACCTTAACACCCTAACACCGTAACGCCCGAATACCCTAACACCCTAGGACTGGTTCCGCCGAGGACCGGTTCCGCCGAAGGTTGGTTCCGCCGAGGGCCGGTTCCGCCGAGGACTGGTTCCGCCGAGGATTGGTCCCGCCGAGGACCGGTCCCGCCGAGGACCGGTCCCGCCGAGGACCGGTTCCGCCGAGGACCGGTTCCGCCGAAGTCTTGTTCCGCCGCGTCGGGCGGCGAGAGCGCTCCCGCTTCAGAGCTCGCGACGGTGGAACAGGACCGGGCGGAACAGGACTGGCGGAACAGGACTGGCGGAACAGGATTGGCGGAAAGAGGACCAGGCGGAACAGGACCTGGCGGAACAGGACCAGGGAACAGGACCAGCCAGAACAGGACCTCGGCGGAACAGGACCGGGCGGAACAGGACCGGCGGAGCAGGACCTCGGCGGAAGAGGTCCGGTTCCGTCCGAGCCACAATCGGCAGAGGTGGGGTCGGTCTCTTCTTTGAGGCTCCCCAGGGCCGGGGGAGGGGGGCCTCTGAGAGGCGCGCGGGGGGGGGGGCCCTCTAGGAGGCGCGCTGCTCCAGGCAGAAGGCTGCTCCCCCTCCCCCGGGTCGTCGCGCCGCCCGATGCATGGGGAATTCGGTGGACTGCTGCGAGCAGGTGAGCGGCGCAGCAAGCCGGGCTCGACTCCGCGGGCGGTCGCGCGTAAGCTGCCCGCGCAGGGTTCGCGCGTGGGTGCCCTCGTTTCCCGTGCAGCGTCCCGCGCTTGCGGCCCGCGCAAAACACCCCGCTGGAGGTCGCCGTGCCGTCGTGCGCAGGACCCGTTTCTGTTCGCCGCTCAGGTGGAGGACTCGGCGATCACGACCGCGGCCCCCGACCTCTTGTGCTTGGAGGCCGCGGCCGTGCTGACGGAGACCAAGGTCCGCATCGTCTGCAGTCCGAAGCCCGCAGTGAGGATGCGCTCCTTCATCCAGGCTGCCCGTGCGTCCCTGCTTCTTCGGCCTGTTTTGAGCCGACGTTGGCGTCCAACGAGCTCTGGACTGCCGAGGGCCTTGCGCCCTTACCTTGCATCCCTGCAGTGGCTTTTGACTTCAACCGATCCCCATTCCCACCAGGCCATGGTATCTCGGCCCCACCGGCCCCCCCCTCGGCAGGGATGGGCCCCTCGAGGCCCGAAGGGAGCAGCCTCCGTCACCAGCCGGGGAGCGACATCGGCCAGTGGGGCCCAGGCCACCTCAGTGGGGGCACTCGGCGCTCGGTACTAATCGTGGGGGGGGGGGGGCGCCACCCCCGCTGACAGCTCCAAATCGACCCCCCGTCGCGGGCAAACGTTGCTGCACGACGTCGACCCCTGTCGGCCCAGCCCGCCGCCAAAACCAGACCCCCGGCCCACGGGCGCGGACAGGATGACGTTGACCCTCGAGCGGGCCCCCCCCATGCTTATATTTTGGCATGAAAGGAAGCGGGCCCCGAGGAAGACGGGTACTGGACGTGATGGGCTTTCCCCCAAGACGAGTCTAGTCCTCCCCTGATAGTCCCGGAGCCCGGGGAGGGCCCCTGGAGCCCAGAAGACGGCGAGAGCCTCGGGGCCCGTCTCCTTCGGGACCCGTCGTAGAGGGCAGAGTGACCACCCTCACATAAGCACCCCGACGAGCGAAGCCTCCAGTGCACGCACCCAGGGAAGGAATCGAGCGGGGCAGGGCGGCTGTCGCAAACGCCCCGGGATGTCCAGCAAACGCCAAGCATCGGGGGCGGGGTGTTTTTTCCCCTCTTGACGTTTCCTCCGCAGCGATGCTTACCGAACGCGAAGTGGGGATCGGCGGAAGCGATGCTCACAAAGGGGGACTGGCCGTCGAGCTTCCAGGCGGCTGCGCCCGGCCCGCCGCCGGTCGAGGACGAGACCTACCAGGTGAGGCTCGTGAGGCAGGACGGCGAGAGGCTCGGGCTCGACGTGGAGCTCGGGGGCCCCCAAGCGCCACGTGGCGCGGTGGCCGCACCGTGTGGTGGGTCAGTGGCAGCAGTGTCAGCAGTGGCGTCCCCGCTCGGAGGGGAGCCCCTCTCGGGGCCCGGCCGCCCGCACCCAGACCTCTGCAGCGCCTTCCTCTCCTTGACCATCCCCACTCCTCCTCCCTCCAGGTCTGACTGTGTGTGCGGGTGCTGCTCCTTCATCGCCACCCGGTGTGGTGACTCCGACGGTGTGGCGAGTCCGTGGGGATGCCGAGCCACCACGCGGTCTTTTGGGGGCTCGGGCCGTTCTCCGCGGAGGTCTCGTCTCGGGCGACGGGGGCCTCCAGAGGGTCCCCGAGGCCGTGCGGTGGCGGGCGGCAAATTTTGGAAGAGCAGGAGCCAGGAGGAGGAGGAGGAGGAGGAGGAGGAGGAGGAGGAGGAGGAGCAGGAGGAGGAGGAGGAGGAGGAGGAGGAGGAGGAGGAGGAGGAGGAGGAGGAGGCAGAGAGGAGGAGGAGGAGGAGGAGGAGGAGGAGGAGAGAGAGGAGGGAGGAGGAGGAGGGAGGAGGAGGAGGAGGAGGAGGAGGAGGAGGAGGAGGAGGAGGAGGAGGAGGAGAGGAGGAGGAGGAGAGGAGGGGTGGAGGAGGAGGAGGAGGAGGGGCGTTTTGGGGGGCCCCGAAGAGGACTACATGCAGGGTCGCGCGGTGCTCCCGATCGTCGGGCTGTGCGGGGGGATGGCCAGGGCGTGGAACCGGGCCAACCCCTACGCGCCGCTGCGCTACGGCGACGCGCTCGTGCGGGTGAACGGCGCCCGGGGCGCCACCGAGATGCTGGAGAGGTCGGGGGCGGAAAAGAGGGGGGTGATGACTAGGGGGGGGTGAATATCATGGCGGGGGGCATGATATTTCCTCAGATTTCATGGCGCCTCTTCTTATTTCATTGCGTCCCTGGCCCCCCCCGCTGGGCCGCGCACATGCCGCCGGTCATGATTTGCACCCCCCCTCTTGGACACCCCCCTCTTTGCCGCTCCCGAAGAGGTGCAGGGACGACGAGGCTCTGGAGCTGACCCTGCGGACGCAGCTGAACTGCAGCGCCCTCGTCGCCGACCTCGAGAAGCTGATACGGCAGAGGCTCGGCGGCGAGCGCATGGGGGGATAGTAAGAAGGAGAGGGCCTTCTCAGGAGGCGGCGGGACTTCTCAGAAGCCCGCACGCCTTCTGAGAGGTCCTCTGTGTCCTCGGGGGAGGCTTCGACAACTTCTCAGAAGGCTGGGGGACTTCCGAGCCGTCTGAGAAGGCCCGCCCCCTCTCGCTTCCCCTCCGGGCTCGCCGCCGAGAGGAGGTGCGGGCCGGTCCTGGTGCGGCTTTCCTTCCATGACGCTGCCGTCTACAGAGCCAGCCCGGCCGCCGTGGCCCCCGATGGCCGCGCCAATGCGGCCATGCGCTTCCTGGACGCGGGCGAGTCCAGATTCCCGGCGAACAGGGGGCTCCCCGAGGTTCAGGGGAGGAACAGGTACCCATACCGCTACCCTTCCCTCGTTTTCCTCTTTTCGGGGCTCCTAGGAGGCTGTCGTCTCCACCGCTGGATTCGCCTCGGAATGCTGGTCAGAACGCACCCCAGGAGAGGTCTGGGGAGTAGCGGTGTCAGTACTTACGGGGGGGTCCCCAGAGGTTGCGATACCGTTGCTCTCGAACATCTCGGGGAAGTACTGCCCAGACCTCATCTCGCACGCGGACCTGTGGGCGCTGGCCGCGAACGTGGCAATCCGCCTGATGGGGGGCCCAGACAGCTCGATGATCCTCAGGACGTGTGTCAGCCCAATGTGTGTGTGTGTGTACCCCGGTCAGCGCCGCCGATAGCACGCAGCCTGTGTCCGCCTTCGCTGTGCGGCCTGTGCCGTTTTGAAGGGCGTCCGTGGAGAAGCACGCGTTGCCGCTAACCCGCGTCCTGAGGATCATCGAACATCCCCACGCGCTTCGGCCGGGCGGACGCCAGGTCATCGGCCGAGTCGGTGCAGTCTCAGGTGGGGCGCCTGCCGGACACGAGCATGGAGGCGGAGCCTCTGCGGCGGCTCTTCTCGTCCAAGGGCCTCGGCGACAGGGACGCCGTGGCTCTGCTGGGGGCGCACGCGCTGAGCAGGCCCGAGTGTGGCGCCGCGCCGGCGGAGAGGTGCTTCGACAACGCGTACTTCGGGGGCCTGCTCCAGTGGTCCGCCGCGGAGCACCCGAAGTCGAGCCCGGAGGGCAGGTCACGGGAGGGCGGGTTGAGACACTGGTAGTTGGCCTTTAGCTGGGGCCCTCGCCGCCACGGCTGGACGCAGCTGACCTGGCAGGACTGACCAGTCTCCGACGAGTCCCCACAGAGTCCTGCGCTTCACATGCTCTCAAGTCTGCCGCAAGTCACCGTGTGGCTTACGCAGCACCGCACAGATGCGGATCAGAGGGAGGGGGCAGTGGGGACGTGGGCAGTTTGCGAGACTTTGGAGAAGCCCGCCGCAGGCGCCACGCTTCTTACAAATTATACAACGAGCCTCCGCAGGCGCCGATCTTTTCGTTCAACCAATGTGGGTAGTTCACGGGTGGGTCGCGGGTGGGTCGCAAATGGGTCGCGGGTGGGTCGCGGGGTGGGTCGCGGGGTGGGTCGCGGGCTGTTCGCGGGTGGGTCGCGGGGTGGGTCGTGGGTGGGTCGCGGGTTGGTCGCGGGGTGGGTCGCGGGTTGGTCGCGGGGTGGGTCGCGGGTGGGTCGCGGGTGGGACAACAAACAACAAGCAACAAACAACAAACAGCAACATCAACATAACAACAACACCAACAACAACAATAACACAACAACAACACCAACAACACCAACAGCACCACCAACAACAACACCAACAACACCAACAACAACAGCAACAGCAACAGCAACAACAACAACAACAACAACAACAACAACAACAGCAGCAGCAACAACAACCAGCAACAACAACGATAACAATCATTTTAAGACTGTTCGCCCTTATCTGATCGAGTGTCCAAAAACGCGTAGTTCCCAAACCCTCGATACCCGCCCTCTTCGTCTTCGATCGAACCCGTTTTGGGGGGTATATTTTTCTTCCATGCAGGCTGGGCCCCGGCAAGCGGCGGGGCGGCCGCGGACCGTCGGCCTGGCCACCGGCAGCGCTGATCGGCGGGGCGGCCGCGGACCGTCGACCCGACCCCAAAGAGGGACGGACAGGGGACCGACCACGACGACGACGACGACGTCGACGACGACGACGGCGACGACGACGACGACGGCGACGACGACGACGAGCGAAAGCGAGAGCGAGAGAAAACGACAGCAGGGCCACAAGGACACGAAGTAGGCCACGAAGGGCGACAGCGGGGACACGGAGGAAATGCGTATGGGGCCACGAAGAGCGCGAACGAGCGGGGGCCACGAAGGGCTGATAATGTGGGGCCACAAATGCAACGATGGGGCCACTGAGGGTAGCAACTGGGTCACGTAGGACACTGAGGGGGCCACAAACGGGGACAGCGGGGCCACGAAGGGCATGCACATGGGGCCACAACGGGCGCGAACGAGCGGGGGTCACGAAGGGCATACGTATACTGGGCCGCGGAGGGCAAGGACGGGGCCACTGAGAGCAGCAACGGGGCCACGAAGGGCAGCGGGGGGGCCATGAAGGGCGACAGCGGGGCCACGAAGGGCATACATATGGGGCCACCACGGGCGCGAACGAGCGGGGGCCACGAAGGGCATACATATATGGGGCCACGAAGGGCAGCGAGGGGGCCACGAAGGGATGCAACGGGGCAGCGAAGGGCAGCGAGGGGGCCACGAAGGGCTGCACCGGGCCACGAGGGGCTGCAACGGGGCCACGAGGGGCAGCGAGGGGGCCACGAAGGGTTGCAACGGGGCCGCGAAACAAAGCGAGGGGGCCACGAAAGGCTGCAACGGGGCCGCGAAGGGCAGCGAAGAGGCCGCGAAAGGCTGCAACGGGGCCTCGAAGGGCAGCGAGGGGGGCCACGAAGGGCTGCAACGGAGCCGCGAAACAAAGCGAGGGGGCCACGAAGGGCTACAACGGGGCCACGAAGAGCAGTGATATCCCGATTCCTAGGTAATCTTTGAGGGAGTCTTGCGCGTGAGCGCGATTCCTGGGTGCCTGAGTGTCGGGAGCGCGGCGCTTGAGAAAATCGCAGAAAATTCCAACGCAAGGGCGCTATTCTTCAGAAAATTGCAGGCAAGTCTCCAGCGAGAGCGCGACTCCAGAGCGCCGGGAGCGGGGGTCCTGGCTAAATTGTCAGGAAGTCTCAGGCGGGAGCCGTTGATGTTGTAACCCGGGAGGCCAGGGGCCCAGTTTGAGCTGCAAGACTTTCCCTGGAAAAAAAAGGGTGCGAGCGTCGAGGGGGACACTTTGACTGAGAAGAAACACTATGCACCGGTGGGGGGATCAACAATAATTAATCTTCCGAAGTGAGAGTTTAACAACAACAACAACAACAACAGCAGCAACAACAACAACAACAACAACAAACAACAACAACAATTATTACTAGTGTTACAACAACAATAACAACAGTGATTTAACTACTGTTCGCTCTTATCTGCTCGAGTGTCCAATAACGCGTAGTTCCCAAACCTTCGATACCCGCCCTCTTCGTCTTCGATCGTGCCTCTTTTGGGGGTTATACATTTCTTCCCTGCAGGCCGGGCCCCGGCAAACGGCGGGGCGGCCGAGGACTGGCGGCGCTGATCGGCGGCAATCCGACCCCAACAGGGACGGACAGGGGACCGACCACGACGACGTCGACGACGACGACGACGTCGACGACGACGGCGGCGACGACGACGACGAGCGAAAGCGAGAGCGAGAGAGAGAACGACAGCAGGGCAACGAAGGGCACGAAGTAGGCCACGAAGGGCGACAGCGGGGGCACGAATGGAATGCGTATGGGGTCACGAAGAACGCGAACGAGCGGGGGCCATGAAGGGCAGATAATGCGGGGCCACAAAAGGCAACGGCGGGGCCACTGAGGGTAGCAACTGGGTCACGTAGGACAGCGAGGGGGTCACGAAGGGCGACAGCGGGGCCACGAAGGGCATGCACATGGGGCCACGACGGGCGCGAACGAGCGGGGGCCACGACCCCGTTTCATTCTTATCTAACCCATCCGCTCAGAGAGACCAGCGAAGAACACTCAATTCCTGCACACTTACCGACTGTCACCGAGAAGCGGCGACGTGACTCGCCCCACACAAACTACCCCAAAAAAAACAACGGCGAACAAAACGAAAATCTGCAGTGAACCTCTTCGAACAAAACAGCGACGACGACACGCCAAAGCACTTACCGGGACACATGCGAACCCTGCCACAAGGGCCTTTTGTGAAACTCCCTGACTCTCCCTATGAAGCCACGCACCGTGTGAAGGGCGTGCCAAAACTGGACCTGGGACGCATGTGAGCCTTGCTATTGAGGCTTTCGGTGGAGCTCCCTTATGAGGTCACGAACCGTGTGATGCGTGTGTGAGCCCAGCTTTGCCAGTCGACAAATGAGAACCCTGACACTTGGGTATTCGGTGGCGCCCCACATGAGGCCACGCGCCCCAAGGAGGCCCGCGACCAAGCCGCGGTCCGCATCACGCGCCCCAGAGAACGCCGAGGAACTCCGGAAAAAACAGCGACGAAGGATCCTGCAAAGACTTAGTGCGCTCCCCGAGAACATGTGAAACGGCGACACCCAACCTCGGGGGGGTGCCCAGTTGAGTCTCCGTTGAGGGGGGTGGGGCATACGTATATTCGGCCGCGGAGGACGAGGACGGGGCTAGTGAGGGCAGCAATGGGGCCACAAACGGCAGCGAGGGGGCCACAAAGGGCGACAACGGGGCCACGAAAAGGTATGCGTATGGGGCCACGGCGGTCGCGAACGAGCGGGGGCCACGAAGGGCATACGTATAGGGCCACAAAGGGCAGCGAGGGGGCCACGAAGGGCTGCAACGGGGCCACGAAGGGCAGCGAGGGGGCCACGAGGGGCTGCAACGGGGCCACGAAGGGCAGCGAGGGGGCCACGAAGGGCTGCAACGGGGCCACGACGGGCAGCAAGGGGGCCACGAAGGGCTGCAATGGGGCCACGAAGGGCAGCGAGGGGGCCACGAAGGGTTAGAACGGGGCCACGAAGGGCAGCGAGGGGGCCACGAAGGGCTGCAACGGGGCCACGACGGGCAGCAAGGCACGAAGGGCTGCAATGGGGCCACGAAGGGCAGCGCGATCCCGATTCCTAAATATTCTCTGAGGTGAGCGCGACTCCTGGGTGCCTGAGTGTCGGGAGCGCGGCGCTTGAGAAAATTACAGGAAATTCCAACGCAAGGGGGCAGTTTTTCAGTAAATTGCAAGCAAGTCTCCACGCGACTCCAGAGCGCGGGAGAGCGATTCCTCAATAAATTGTACGGAAGTCCCAAGCGAGAGCGCGATTCATGAATGCGGGAGCGGGGGTCCTGGTTAAAATGTGAGGAAGTCTCAGGCGGGAGCCGTTGTTGTTGTAACCAGGGGACCAGGGGCACAGTTTGAGCCTCAAGATTTTCCGTGATACAAACCAAGATACATGCGCTGGAAGGGGCACTTCAATTGAAACATACAATGTGCACCGGAGGGGGGATCAACAATAATCATTCTTCAGTGGTGAAAATTTAACAACAACGCAACAAACATAATCCTCATCACGGATCCCCACTTCAGCCACGCACCCAGGGACAATGAATGACCGTTCGGTCCCCTCACTCTGATAATTAATAATCCGTAAGGGCTTCGCCCCCTGCCGCCGGCCCCCTCTCTCGGTGAATGGGCCATGGAAGAGCTAAGTCATGAGGCCTTGGCGCTGTCGTGAAGCAGTATCGAAACTTCATGCGAAGCCGAGTCGCAATCAGCAAAACCAACTGATCACAAGAGGGGTTACCACACCTGGCGATTGGTAAGACGTGTATGGTTTAAGGGCTTGGTTACCACACCTTGCGATGAAAGGGCCGAGGGAGTTCTCGCAGTTTGGGTTACCACGCCTTGCGATGGATGTGCGTGATGGGTTCGAATTTCAGAAATGTGGCAAATCCCCTGTGTTTTTGAACCCTGACCCCGCGGATCTGCGTGAGGGGTGGCACCGAATTTCAGAAATGTGGCAAATCCCCTGTGTTTTTGGACCCTGACCCCGCGGATCTGCGTGAGGGGTGGCACCGAATTTCAGAAATGTGGCAAATCCCTGTGTTTTTGGACCCTGACCCCGCGGATCTGCGTGAGGGGTGGCACCGAATTTCAGAAATGTGGCAAATCCCTGTGTTTTTGGACCCTGACCCCGCGGATCTGCGTGAGGGGTGGCACCGAATTTCAGAAATGTGGCAAATCCCCTGTGTTTTTGGACCCTGACCCCGCGGATCTGCGTGAGGGGTGGCACCGAATTTCAGAAATGTGGCAAATCCCCTGTGTTTTTGGACCCTGACCCCGCGGATCTGCGTGAGGGGTGGCACCGAATTTCAGAAATGTGGCAAATCCCTGTGTTTTTGGACCCTGACCCCGCGGATCTGCGTGAGGGGTGGCACCGAATTTCAGAAATGTGGCAAATCCCCTGTGTTTTTGGACCCTGACCCCGCGGATCTGCGTGAGGGGTGGCACCGAATTTTTCAGAAATGTGGCAAATCCCCTGTGTTTTTGGACCCTGACCCCGCGGATCTGCGTGAGGGGTGGCACCGAATTTCAGAAATGTGGGAAATCCCGTGTGTTTTTGGACCCTGACCCCGCGGATCTGCTTGAGGGGTGTCGATTTCGAGCCCCCCCAGTAATTCAGACAACGCGCCCAGGGGACGCTGGAAAATCTTGTTTGGGCCTCCCCCCCCTCGCGCGGTCAATCAACTAGTTACAGTAACCAGCAAGAAGTCAACTAGTTACAGTAACCAGCAAGAAGCAGAACTGTAACACTGGAAACTAGAAACTATCACTGGTACAGGAAACTGCGAATCACGCGCCTCGCAGCCTGGTGGCCCCACAAGGGGGCCGGCGGATTTGCTTAAGCAATTTAAGCCTCCTGCAGTTTTGCGTTCGGGCAAAAGTATGGCGTTCAGCTCATGGTTTTCGTAAAAGATATCGGAGCTCAGGAGCGTAAAGTATGTCCGGTGAAAAGTTGGGACACTCACGTATGGTGCAGCAACATTAACGTTCTAGAGGTGAAAGCGATTGCTTAATTTGCGCGCCCGCGTTTGTTACGAAGCGAACTTCGCAGAGGGCCCCAGCAGCAACGCAAACAACAACCTCGCCGAGAGGAAACATTCAGTGGCGACGAGGGGGTCTTCTCCGCCTCCATCCTCCTCAATGTTTCCCATCCTCGATCCTTGATCCTCCTCCTCTTCGACCCTGCATCCTCAATCCTCCATCCTCCATGCTACAATTCCATTCCTTTTCCTTCTGGATCACTCCTCCCTGTCGCACCCCGAAGCGTGTCGGTACAGTCAAAAACCCTAACAAGGACGCGCGATTTTGTTCCGGGTACCCTTGCGTCCTTGCTCTTCCTTGCTCTTGCGTCCTTGAGGTTTTCGTCGGCCGCCGCCCCAAAAATCCCAACTTCGGCTTCCAAGGGTCTTGCGTCCTCACCGCGCGTCCTCATCAGGGTTTTTGACTGCAGTGCGGGCCGGGCGCTTCGCTCGAGGCTTTTCCCCACCCTTCGTGACCCTCAGGCTGAGCATCTGCAAGAGAGCTTCGCGGGCGGAGGGCGTGCCGTTCTCACGGTGCGGCTCTCGCCGCAGCGCCGCGCACACCCGTTTGCAAACTGTGACAGCAAGAGCTTCTCGCGGGTGGAGCGCGGCCCGTTTTCAAAAGGTGGTCATCGCCTGCCGCGCCTACATTCGTCCTCAAAGCTTGCAAGAGCTTCGCGGATGGAGGGCGGCTCATGTTCAAAGTGTGACCCTCGCCTTAGCGCCGTGCGCATTCGTGTTCAGAGTTTGCAGCAGTTTCGAGGATGTTCGCAGATGTTCGCAGTTAACGTCCTAGAAATGGTGTTTGGGCACGATGTGGGAATGTCAGGGTGCACCGGTCACGTTGACTCGCGGTGTTGAAGTCCCAAGAGGGGTGTTCTGGCACGATTCAGGATCGCCAAGACGTAACAGTGAAGGTGATTCACGGCGTCGAAGTCCCAGGAATAGTGTCCTGGCACAGTTCTGGATTTGCGAACGGTTGTCTTCCAACGGGGCACTTCCTTCAATGAAGTGAAATCATGTAGGGGCCTATGAAGGGGGAATTTGCAGGAAGGGTTTATTGCAATATCGTTGATGAGCCTTGGGGTTACACTGGTCCTCGATCTTCCTCCTTCTCCTAATCCTCTTCGATCCAAGGTACCCCCCGATCCTGAATCCTCGATCTTTGATCCTCCTCCTTCTCCTCCCCATTCTCGTCGATCATCCTCCTCCTCCTCGATCCTTGATCCTTCTTGACCCTCGATCCTCTTCCTCAATCCTGGGTGCTCCTCGGTACTCGCTGATCCATCCTCGATCTTCCTCCTCCTCCTCCTCGATCCTCCTCCTTCTACTCGGTCGTCCTCGACGCTGGGTCCTCGATCTTCGATCTTCATCGGTCCGTCCTGCCCCGATACTCGATCCTCGACTCATCTACCCTCATCGATTGTCATCGGTCGTGTTCGCCCCTCCTCCTCCTTGGGCATTGATCTTCGACTCACGATTCTTATTGTCCTTTTCCTCATCGTTCCCCCTCGGTTCTCTAACTTCGATTCTCCTTCTAAGTAATGTTCCTCCTGCTCGGCCCTCGATCCTCCTCCTGCTCGATCATCCTCCTCGTTGACCCCCCGCTGACCTTCGACCCTCCTCGATCTTTCCCTTCGATCCTTGATCCTCCGCCTGAGAGGCTCACGAGAGCTCTCAGAATGCTCTCTTAAGAGGGTGCCCCAGGCAGCTGCGACCGAACAGACTTCGCTGAAAGGAAGCCCCTCAGCGTTGGAGATTCCGGATTCTGGCACCAGCGAGTTCCTCTGCACATCCGTGATTCCAGCATTTCTTGGAGTTCAATTCCCAGCGGGTCCAGTTGCGAAATGTTGGCTTGTCTGACGAACAATGTCCGAACATCGGAAGCGACGGAAGCGACGGCGACTCGTGTCTGAACTTGCTGGCTCGACATGCATACCATCAGCTCTGTCTGAAATATTGCAGAAGCTTCAAGACCTCTCCTGAGGTGGTGTTGCATGCTGGCTGTACATGACCAAGTGTTGTCGAGCACGGTCGATGATCGAGGGGGATGGGGATGGTTACGGAGGATCGTCGAATTCCACTTCTGGGCTCCATGGGACTCCCCTGGAGTACTCGTAGGATCCAATTGGGCTTTAAGCGTTTAACTTCTACACAGGGTCTCATTATATTCCATTGGGCTCCCTTGGACCCCGTACGGTTCCATTGGGATCCCGAGGGGCCATGAGACCTCATTGGGCTCCTTTGGACTCCATGGGGTCCGAGGGCGGCAGGCAATCAAGGAAGCAAAAGAGCAAGGAACATGAAAGTCATCAAACAAGCGAGCGCCTAAACTCGCAAGCGAGCAAGCACACGCAACCATGCATGTAATCCACGCGCGTGCCCATGCTAGTCCATGCGAAGGTTCACAATCGCTCAACGGCAGGCGGAACCGCGGTTGCCACATGCTACACGACGCGTATCATGGGGCAATATATGCAAGCTGGTTTTCGCAAGTTGTCCTGAAGTGAAGCTTGTAGTTTGGCGTTCCGCAAGTCGTTGGCGTTCATGGTGCAAGATTGGCGCTCGGGTGCACGTATGGCGGTCCGAAAACGTTCAGCGCTCATCTCAAGTCACCAGGGAGTTCTCTCTGGATCTTGCCAACTCCAGCGCGCGCCCCGGCGGACCCCTGCGAGGGTTCCGGGAGCCGATTTTGAGCCGTCGTTGTGCTGACTCGCCTTGCTCCGAGCAGGTGCCTCGCCGCCCACGCGGGCATGAGTTGCTCTGATCTGGCGCTGGTGCAGGACGCGGGCTTCAGGGAGCACGTCGAGGTGTACGCTACGGACAGGGACGCGTTCTTCACGGCCTTTTCCAAAGGGTGGGCGAAGCTGCAAGAGCTCGGGTGGCCGAATCTTCGGGATTCTCTCTGAGGAGGAAAATCCTCCTCTCACAGTGGGCAGAAGTTAGAGGACTCCGCGCCCACTTCCTTGGCCGCAACGGTTTCACCCGCTCGCGCACTGCTGTGGCGTTAGCTCGCCTCAGCCGCAGTATCTCATCCTCGTCTTCCTCCATCTCCTCCTGTTCATCCTTCTCCTCCATTCCTTCTCCTTCTAGATAACTCCTCCCTGTCGCACCTCGAGGCCAGTTTTTAGGAGGGCCGGGCGTTTCGCTTGAGATTTCCTCACCATTTACGACTCTGAAGCTTAAAAGTGACAACAGTTTCACAGATGAAGGGCGGGTCGCTTTCAAAATGTGGTTCTCGCCTTAGCGCCGTGCGCATTCGCTTTAAAATTTTGCCAGAGCTTCGCGGATTGAGGGCGGGCCGTTTTCAAAATGTGGCTCTCGCCATAGCGCCGTGCACATTCGTTTTAAACATTTGCAAGAGTTTCACGGATTGAGGGCTGGTGGTTTTCAAAATGTGGTTCTTGCCTGAGCGCCGCGCACATTCGCGAAAACAAATTGCAAGAGTTTCACGGATTGAGGCAGCTCCTTTTCAAATTGTGGCGCTCGCTTTAGCGCCGCGCACATTCGTTTTCAACATTTGCAAGAGTTCTACGGTTTCCCATGATCACTGTGCTAGAAAGGGTGTTTGGGATGGATTCAGGATTATGCGGGTGCTACAGTTATGTTGATTCGCGGTGTTGAAGTCCCAAAAATGGCGCTCTGGCACGTTTCTGGATCGTCAAGACGCAGCAGTTAGGTTGATACGTGGCGTTGAAATCCAGAGAACAATGTTTTGGCATGCTGGAGGATCTTCAAACGGTTCTCTTCCAACGAGGCAGTTCTCTCAATGGAAATGAGCCCTTGTGGGGGTCTGTGAAGAGGGAGCTTGGAGGGAGGGTGAATTCCAACATCGTTGATGACTCTTGGTTTTGCACTGATCCTCCTCCTCCTCCGCCCCCTCCTCCTCCACCACCACCATGCATGTCTTCTCCACCAGGAGAGGCGTGTTGCCATCAGCAGGTCATTTTCCCCCTCGATCGCTCATTCGATCGCCAAGACCGCTCGGCAGGCCGTTGACCTCCCTTCTGGAGGCACCTCTGTCAGACAGTCGCGCAGAGTGTCTAGGTAATGATCTTGGACTCCTCCTTCTCCTCCTCCTCCCACTTCTCCTCCTCCTCCTCCTCCTCTGCTCCTCGCCGTCGTTCGTTTCCCTGGTTCGTAACGACCTGAGGTCAAGTTGCCTCGAGACCTCGATTCCCCCCGCTTGAGGAGTATGTCGACGCTGCTGGCCCTCTGCTCGACGTTCGCTCTCCCCAGAAGCCCTTGAAACCTTCTTCGCCTTCTTGTTCCTCCTCGATCCTCCTCCCCCTCCTCCTCCTCCTCCTCCTCCTCCTCATCCTCCTCCTCCTCCTTGGATCTGCCTCCTCGGAGGCAGGCCACCGTCCCCTAGTCCTAGTCCTCCTCCTCCTCCTCCTCCTCCTCCTCCTCCTCCTCCTCCTCCACAATTACACAATATGAAAATACTCTCCCACTTCCCCTGATGGCGTCCCGAAGATATCCGACACCCCCCCGCGTATTGTTTTTTTACACACAGGATTCCCGGGAAACGGGTTTTCGCTGGTGTTTTTTCAAAATGCTGCTCTCGCCGAGGCGCCGGCCTCATTTTCGGGCCCCGCTCGTTCCGAATCGTGCTCCCGCTGCAGCGCTGGCCTCATTTCCGTGCTTCCGCTCGTTCCGAATCGTGCTCCCGCTGCAGCGCTGGCCTCATTTCCGCGCTTCCGCCCCGTTTCGACTCGTGCTCCCGCTGCAGCGCTGGCGTCATTTCCCGTGCCATGCCACAGCACACGCGCACACACGCACACACACACACACACACACACACACCCACCCACCACCACCACCACCACCACCACCACCACCACCACCACCACCACCACCACCACCACCACCACCAGCGCACCACCAGCACCACCAGCAGCAGCACCACCATCACCACCACCAGCACCAGCCCCACCACCACCACCACCACCACCACCACCACCACCACCACCACCACAACCACGCACACACGCACGCACGCACGCACGCGCACCACCACCCACTAGTCCGCGGATAGAGAAAATCAGCGCCATGGTAAGGGATGGGAGGGAGGGGTAGGACGTCAGATATGACGCGCGCGCGCACCTAGCTTGCCTCCTCCTTCTCGCCCTCTTCCTCCTGTTCGCCCTCCTCCTCGCCCTCCTCCTTCTATTCCTACTCCTCCTCCTCCTCGCCCTCCTCCTCCTCCTCCTCCCCCTCCTCCTCCTCCTCCTCCTCCTCCTCCTCCTCTCCCTCCTCCTCCTCCCTCCTCCTCCCCTCCCCCTCCTCCTCCCCCTCCCCCTCCTCCTCCACTCCTCCTCCTCCTCCTCCTCCTCCTCCTCCTCCTCCTCCTCCTCCTCCTCCTCTTCCTCGCCCTCACCAGTGGCGCCCCCGTCCGATCCTGCCGAGCACACTGCTCGGTGGCACTGCCTCGGTGTTCCTGAGCTCCGCGTGCACTGCACCGCGAGCCTGCACGGCTTCTCGGCGGCGAGCCCGGGGGGGAGTGAGAAGGGCGGGCCTTCTCTGGAGGCTCGCAAGGCCTCCGGTCTCCGCCCCGCGCCGGCTGCAGCCGCCGTGGCGTCGCCGTCGCCGCCGGTGGTCGTGCCGCTGCGGGCGTCCCGTTTGTCGCCTGTCGTGTCGTCGTCGCCGTCGCCGTCTTGGCCGCCGTCGCCGCCGTCGCCGCCGGTGGCTGCCTGCTTTCCTCGGCCTGGACCTCGTGCCCCTCTCTGGGCGCCCCGCGAGGCCAGCCCAGAGTCCTGGGCTCGCAGCCTCTTCCCGAAGGCGCAGCAAGCGTTGCAGCAGCCCAGAGGGGGCCCCCGAGAGACCCCGCGGCCTTCTGGGAAGGCCTGCCCCTCCTCTGGGAAGGCTTCCCGCCCGGGCGCGCCGCCTCGAGCTGCGTCTCACCGGCTGCTGCTGCGGAGCGGCCGCCCCCATCCGCCGTGCAGAAGCCCACGGCGGGAGGCGCTGGGCCGCTCCCCCGGCCCCCGGGGCTCGCCGAAGGACGGAGGGCCAGCCCCCGGGAAGGGGTCCCTGGGCCTCTGTCGGGTTGGCCCAGAAGGGGATCCAGCGACAAGGGGGTGGTGCAGCAGATCTGGTGCCATAGATTTATGGGGTTGCAAGACGTGTGGGGGGCGTGCAGTACATGTCGGGGCGCAAGTGTACTGCTGGATTTCATCGCGTGCAATGCATTACTTGCAAAACAATGCAATACAATTCTCCTGCGCAACACATTTGCAATACAACTGCCCCAAATCTATTGCACCACCCCCTTTCAGCTGGACCCCCTTGTGGGTCACCCACACTCTGAGGCTCGACGTCGGGAAAAGGAGCAAGATCGTGCAGGCCGGGGGTCTGGGGCGGGTGCCGGGGGGGGGGGGGCGCGTCGGAGCAGGACGGGCCAGCGGCGGAGCGAAGCCAGACGGCTCCCTCGAGGACGCCACGCCCTCTCCGACCCGCGTTTCCTCGCCCAGAGGCTGCGCCAGAAGGGATTCTCCCGAGGCAGGGGCTGAAGCGCGACCCCTGGCGCCTGGCTGGCTGGAGGATGGTCGAGGATCGTCGGCGACTACAGCTGCGATTGCAAAGGCTGTGGCTACGCCGGGGTGCGGTTTACGATCTACACCGTGGCGGCTCAGGGGCCACCACGTTGCGCCAAAGGCCTGATGAACCTCGTCGGGGCGCGGCAGAGATCCCCGTCGAGGTCCTCGCCCCCCCCCCCCCCCCAAGGCGCGGGTTGCAAACCGCACCCTCTGCATACCACACCCGTCGGAGTCGCCGAAATCGTTGCCTCCGACCTCACACCAGGCCTCGGGTCGGTTTGGGCGGTCGTCGCGTCGACCGCGGCTGGGCGGCCCGGATGAGACCGCCGCCGCGCTTTGTGGCAACCCCACGACGTGGCCCATGTGGGGCGCTGCGGCGGTTTCCACCCCTTCCCACCCCCGCCCGCGCCTGACCGCGCGACCGATCGATTCCCTCCCCTCGATCGAGGAGGAGGCTCGATCCTCCCCTCCTCCTCCTCCTCCTCCTCCTCCTCCTCCTCCTCCTGCTCCTCCTCCTCCGTAGCCATTTTGGCTCAAGAGCTCATGCATCAAGATGTCTCGGCATCCCACCAGCGGGTGGACGTCTCGCGCGATGGCTGCTAGGCTGCTGCCGCCGTGGCTGCCTTCGTGACTTTTTGCTCTCTCTCTCTCCCACTCCAGCGTGGGCCTGTACGACATGCCGTGTTGTCGATCATATGTGAGTGCTGTGCAGGGAGGACTGGAGCTGTCTGCGGCGCAGGCCGCGCGTCGTGCCCGTGATAGTCACTACCGGTTCGTCGCGCATTCCAGGCCTGGCATGCGCTTCCTGGAGGTGGCGGCGGAAGACAAGCAGGCGATCAAGGAGATGGCCAAGGGCAAGTCGCTCCACGCCTGCTTGGACCGCGCTCTGGGGCGGCCCCACACGTCTGGGAAGCAGGCGGCGCACCGAGCCTGGCGGGCTGGGCTCATGGACAAGCGTCAGCACAGCGCAGCTCGCCGCCTCTTGGAAGGAGCCGACCGTGCCAAGCACGAAACGGACGGTGTGGTTGAGCAGGTACCCCACGCCAAGCCTGTGAATACCGTGCCGAAGCGGGCACCGTGGGCGGATGCAGCCGACGACCCTGGCCCTCCTGATCCTTCTGCTGATGCGGACCTCAGCCGTGACGATGCTGGGTTTCGTTGGGAGCATCACGGAATGGCTGCTGCTGCACATCCCACTGGACGCGCGCGCTAGTCTGGCTCAGGGTGCTCGTGCTGATGCTGCCACACAAACGACCCGCCACCAGGTCTGCCTGCAACAAGCTATTCCTGTCGCCCCTGCCGGTTGGCTGGCCCCTGGAGCGTGGGTGGCTGCAGGCGCGACCCCTCCAGCTCCGCAAGATGTTGTCTTTCGTGCCCACCGTTCGCGTGGCGTTGATGATGGTCCAGATGTTGGCGTGCCTGATGATTTCACTCCTGCCCACCTCTCGCGTGGTGCTGCTCTACATGAGGGTCCAGATGCAGACGTGCTTGCCCACCTCCCGCGTGGTGTTGCACAACGTGGTGAAGCTGGATGCCGCCTCGACGCCCTGAGCGGGGAGGAGCACGGGGATGTGACAGAAGTGCTCGGCCTGGACCTCGACGACCTCTGTGTCCGCGTGGCCCTGCTCGAGGGTGCGGCGAGGAAGCAGGCCGAGGAGTGCGCGACGGACTGCCTGCAGCTCCAGATCCAGGCGCTGTCCACGCGGCTGGAGGCGGTGGAGGCGTTCACGAAGACGCAGACGCTGGCGGCGGAGGTCATGGCGCGAAGGACGGTGGAGGCGGTCACTCCCGTTGTTGAGCGCCTGCTTCGCGTGGAGAAGGCCTTCGCCATCGCTGAGGCCAAAGCGACGAAGGAAGCAGAGGAGAAGACCACGACGGACGCAGGCGCCAAGGCGGTTCCTCCTGCGGTCGTCCCTGGCGCGGATGGCCGTGCCGAGCCTCATCCAGCTGCCGACCAACCAGTCGACCTTCCTCCTGAAGACGTACGAGACGATCCTCCCCCTCCTGGCGACGATGCCCATGCCGTTCATGCTGATCATCACCCTCTTCTGGTTGACGTGCGGTCCGACCTACATCCTCCACGCGGGGGCGCTCGTGGCGCATATGATCGCCTTGCGGACGCTCCTGGCGTTGTCGTTCCTCTGGAGGAGAAGGCCTATGGGCGGAGGCCTATGAGCTGCTCATGCAGGCCGAGGCTGTTGCGAAGGAGGATGAAGCAAAACCGAAGACCGAGGCTAAAGCGAAGAACAACAAGATTGTCCGTCGTGCGGGTGCTGACCGACGATGGAATGTTTCACTGAAGGACGCGAACGCCGCTGTCAAGGCCTCTCTGTCGAAGCAGGACGAGAAGCTCCACGACGTTGCCGCCAAGAAGCAGCGCCTGCACATCGCGACCATGGAGCTCCCCGATGAGCTGGACCTGCTGACGTTCCAGGAGAAGGCCAAGGCCATCTCCCTCCCCGTGCGGAAGGAGGGCTGTGAGCTGCCGCCCGCCCGCGCTTCCCCCTTCCCCGCGTTCCTCTGCCGCTCTGACCTCCTTGCCCTCCGCCCCTCCTCCTCCTCCTCGATGCGCGCGCACCTAGACGACGTTGTAAATCGGAATCGCAGTGTCAGGCACGATGCATGTGTAAAGCATAGATGTGGTAAGTAGGCTGGAGCTGAACTGCGCCCCCCCCAGACGCTCCAACCTCCTGCTCCTCCTCCTCCTCCTCCTCCTCCTCCTCCTCCTCCTCCTCCTCCTCCTCCTCGATCCTCGTCGATCTTCTTTCTCGTCTTCCACGATCTACGTTTCGAGCCTCCTCCCCAGAGCACTGGCGCCGTGATTTGTTCCCAGCGAGTCGACCCCCAGAGGTCTGGACCCCCCTCCCAGGACCAGCTTTTCCCCCGAGCCGTTTTTCGACGGACCCAGGGCCCAGTGAGGGCCCGCAGATCGTCGGCGAGCCCAGGGGGGAAGTGAGAGGGGCAGGCCTTCTCAGAAGGCGGCGGGGCTTCTGAGAAGCCCTCGCGCCTCCTGATAAGATTTCCATGTCCTTGGGAAAGGTTCAGAAACGTTTTCAGAAGGCCCCAGGCTTTCCGAGCCCTCTGAGAAGGCCCGCCCGCTTTCCGAGCCCTCTTAGAAGGCCCGCCCCTGTTCACTTCCCCCCCCCCCCCGGGCCCGCCGCCAAGCAGACGCAGACACGTGCCAAGCATCTGTCGCCCTGTTTTTTTTTCACAGAGCGCGAGGCGGCGGCGGGCTACAAGGCGGTGGCGTCCGCCGCCGCCTCCGTCGTCGGTATCGTCGTCGTCCTCCTCGTCCTTTTCGTCGTCGTCGTGGTCTTCGTCGTCGTCGTCGTCGACGTCGTCGTCGACGTCGTCGTCGTCGTCGTCGACGTCGTCGTCGACGTCGACGTCGACGTCGACGTCGTCGGGCGCGAAGGCGCAGGCGGCGCGGTGCCCGCCGCCCGGGGTCTCGGCCGCCCAGCGGCTGGGTCCTCGGGGCCGAGTGGCTGACCCCGCCTCGCCCGACAGCTCCTGCTCCTCCTGCTCCTCCTGCTCCTCCTCCTCCTCCTTCTCCTCCTCCTCCTCCTCCTCCTCCTCCTCCTCCTCCTCCTCCTCCCTCCTCCTCCTCCTCCTCCTCCTCCCCCACCTCCTCCTCCTCCTCCTCCTCCTCCTCCTCCTCCTCCTCCTCCTCCTCCTCCTCCTCCTCCTCCTCCTCCTCCTCCTCTTCGTCGTCGTCCTCCTCCTCTGGAGGGACGCGTCGCGGCCCACAGCCCCGCCCTGGCCTCAGGCCCGCGCCAGCGCGGCGGCGCGGCGGGGCGGCGGCCGCTGCCCGCAGCGGCGCCCGCGCGTGGCCGCTGCTCGCGCTGGGGGCGCTGCTGCCTCTCGCGCCGCCGTTCGCGGGGGCCGGCGCCCGCCTCCGCCGACACCGGGTACTGTCGGGCGCTGCGCGCCCAGACTTGCAGCGCCTCGAGAAGCTCGAGACGAAGGTTGTTCCAAGCTTTCGGCCTCTCGGGCCCCTCGCCGGGCCCCGAGGGGGCGACTCAGGATCTGGCCCCCGGGAGAAGTTCCAGACCTCTGGGGGACCACGTCTTGAGAACCTCAAGGCGTCGGATGTCTGGGAATGTGGGCGAGCAGTGCGCTGCGTGGTGGGGGGGAGGGGGCGCAGGCTGGCCGGAGGCGAGGGGTGGAGCCTCGGGTGTTGCGCAGTGGGGGGGGGGAGGGGGGGCGATAACCGGGGGGGGGGGGGAACCTTTCGAGCACCTCGGGGGCCCCACAGGGGCCCCATGCAGGGCCCACGAGGGGCGCGCAAGGCTCGCGCTTCTTCGCCCCCCCGCTGACGCCTCCCCGCCCCCGTGGAACGCTCAACACCGGGCCCCGAGGCGGTCGAGCAGCTGCAGGCGGCCAGGTGCGCTGTGCGGCGGGGGGGGGGGGCTCCTCTGCCTCCCAGCCCGGCGGCCTGAAGACCACTGACCTGTCTGGGAGGTCACCGCCCAGGGCGGCGGCGCGACGCCGCCCTCACCGACGGCTGGCCGCGGGGGCGGCGGGGCCAGCCTGGCGGCCGCGCGGGCGCCCGGCTCCGCCGACCACCTCGCCAGCTCGAGACGCCGCCATGGAGCCCAGCGGGTCCTG